AGGAGGAGTAGTCTTGTCAGAAGGTCAAAATTTGGACTAAATCAGTTTCTCAATCTGCTTTATGAGTCCGCCACCAGAGGCCGCTAATTGAGAAGAAATAAATATCTTTTAAAAAATCTACAGTACAAGGGATTTAGGTGATTGCTTCTGGATTTGCATTACAGTACGCTATTATTTATTCCAAGAGAAAATCATTATGACTCTGAAATTGTAGTTAGATATATTTGAAAATAGTTGACACAATTTAAGTCATCAGAAAAAGAAAAAAAGACAGGTTTGTAGATTGTAATCAATAGGTTGCCAGGTCCCTCCATTAACAGTAAGTTAAGTTTAAGTCCTTGGACACAGACAATGTGACTGGTGTGTTGGCTTATGCACATCTGAATATTGCCACTGGTGGTGGTGGTTGTCACGCCCTCTGCAGCCAGAGGGCGCTCCTTCACTGTCCTTTCCCTAGTTTCCGGTCTGCTGTCCTTCCGGTCCCTCTCTTTCCCTTGGGCTATATATTTCCGGGTCTTGTACTCTGTCCTGGCTCAGCATTGACGTTCGGATGTCCTGAGACCCGCCTAGCACCAGGGTGCCCCACGTCTGCTCCCTGAGGGCATAGGTTTCTATACGGCATTCCTGAACTCTTTGCACTAATGAGCCCGGGCCTTTTTCCTGTCTCGCCGCTACGCATATGGGTCTTTTTCCGCTTTTTTTTCCGCCTACTATCCACGGTTAGTCCCTTTGGACGTCCGTGACAGTGGTGGGGAGGTGACTGATCTGGCACAACTCTAACATGAGTCACACAAACCACAATAAAGCCAGGGACCATCCAGGGTTAGGAGTAAAACTGGATAATGCAGCTCACAACTGGACATTCCACAGGATAAGGACTGCGGGAAGCTTTTAGGGCCAATTTTAGGCTGGCTGCAAAGTACGAGGAGAAGACCACACTGCTCAGGATGAGTTGAAGGGGAAGCTCACCCTACACACTGCCTGGCTCTTAGAAAGAATGTCCTTTCTAGCATCGCTGTTCCACAGGCCCAGAACAACCCTGGCTCTTCTAAATCTATGCCTTTGTCATTGATTTTGACATCCTCTCCCTTCAACACATGAAAGTGCTGCTGACACCCATGCAGAACCAGAATGCATCCAAGTGACTGATGAAGAAGTTCCCCGCTGACTTATCATTTATTCATTACCTTAGCATCAGTTACTTTGAGAACTTGATGGTCCATGGTTGCTCCTTGACAATACTTCCCAAGCTCTCCACCTGGTCCTGGAGAGAACAACAGCAGCAGGCCTGGTCAAGTTTCATCTGCTGTGCTGAGAGGTTTTCTTCCTTGGTCTTCAGGTAAGTGAAGTCAGTTTCAATTTTGAGAGGGATAAAGTCATCACTGTGTGAGACTGGTCTATGCCAACCAGTTTATGACAGCTCCAAGCTTTTTCTAAGATCAGCTTTCTAATATTGCCGATTCTTGGCTGGTTTTGCCACCATTTCCACTTCCCTCCATAAGCTCACCTGTAAAGGCACTGCATTCTGATGGACTGAGGAGAGTAAGCAAACCTTTGACTCCCTCAAGTTAGAACAGTGTGGCACCCCTGTCCATCGATGAAGTTCCGGGCATTGTCCTATCCCAGAACTCTAATGATGGAGATAATGTGATCATCTATTATAGCTAGACCTTCACACTATAGTACCAGGCCAGAACTGCTGACAGTTGAAGATAATGCCTTAAAACCCTTCAAACACCACCTGTGTGGCCTTCTGTTTGTATTTCACATTAATCACACTGCCCTGCGTTGTCTGATGTCATTCAAGGACCCAAAGGGCCAGCTGACCTGGTGGATTGAATAATATTGAAAAAAATCCAGGCCTACACACTGAGTAACACTGTGCAGTAGAGAATCACCCAAATACACACATGTTCAGAGGATAGCTTTGCTCTCTGCCATCACTAGAAGGAGCAGGAGCTAGGGTGCTCTTCTCCCCGACCTGTGACTTGCTGGAACATCTTACCTCAAGGATGGAAAGGCAGGAGGCAGACAAAGAACTCCAGGTGGCGTGTTGGCAGATGTTTACTGGGAAGCGCACACATTGGGTGAGATGGCTGATAAGCGTCCTTCTATGAAATCATTCTGGGCCCAGTGGCCAGGTCTGCAACTCATCCAAAAGAAAGTGTGTTAAAGAGACGCTGAGGATATATTGTATGAGGTAATAGTTCCTTCTGCCAGGGCTTCTACTGGGGGTGCATCACACAGGAATAATGGGATGCCTGTCCTGCCCGCAGAGGTCCTCAGGAGCAGTACTGAGAAGCCTTTCAGTCCTTCCTAGCAAGTACCCTATGGAATCAGTGGCCATCAACATCTTGGGCCTCCTTCCAGAACCTCCAGATTTGTGTCATGGCCAAGGATCATTTCACGGGCTAGCAGGAGGTAAATGGGCTACTAGATTAGCAGGCTGAGACTGTATGTGATGTGTTCATTAGATTTCTTCAGCTGACTCAGAGTTCTGCAGGAGATCCATTTTTTAACAAGGACCGATTATTGTGTTTTCCAGGCCATGTGCAGCTGCTCTTTGGCTCAGAACTCAGTACACTACTTGAAATAGCCTTGAGGGTGATCAGCAAGAGCCTATGCACACCCTCTCATTCTTCAGCACCAGAGGAGGTTGCCAGTCCACATGGGGTGTGGGTAGGGGGGCAGTATAGTGTTTTGCTCCTCAGAGATGGACTGCCAGGACTGTTCTTTGACCTTTGCCCTTCTAGCACATGCTGTGCTCTTTCTTCCACTCTCTCTCTATCTCTGCCAATGACAAGCACACACCTGACTAAGGTAATAAACCCTCTTGTATGCTTTTATTTTATTTACGATGGAAACACACATTTCTACTACTGAGGTTTCTGCACGTACTCTCTCTTAACACCAGGGGTCTCCATATTCATACAGCATTCCAAGACCTTTAAGCTATGTCTGATTTGATCTCACCAGGTTTAATTTTTTCAAGTGTTTGTTTTGTTTCTCAGATCCCGATGAAGTAATATTGGAAATACAATACATGGTCTGTGAAAAGGCTTCTCTAGTGTCCAATCTGGGTATTCAAGTTCAACAGTCTCCTGCTGACAAACGTTGATTTGGGTGTATGCACTTCAGTAAGCATTTGGCTGACCTTTTGAGACTCTCTAAAGATCTTGATGTACTGGAAGGCCTCTGTTATTTATCTGATGAAAACAGTTCCTTAGCAACAGTCTAGAGGCATGTCTGACATGTGCTGTATGGTAACAAATACAGTACAATATGTGAAGTATCTATGCCAAATTGTGAAAAATAAATATTAAGTAAAGGTGATTTTCTCCCAATTCTGATTCCATGGTTGCAATTAGTTTACTCCAAGCACTGTATTACTTCATGCATACTAGGGACTCATCTCAAAAATGAATATGTTATTTTGTTTATCCCCAAAAATTTTTGTATTACTCTCTTTGTTTGAAAACTCACACCAAGTTTAACATGTCAAAATGAATTTCTCTTTTTACTGCTCTCCTTTTACAGATCTAGAAAACGCGTTACTGATATGATTTAATATATTTGATATATTTCTGACACAATCAGGTTTGGACAGTCTCAGCTTTATGACTGTATGGTCAATCTCACGATCAGAAGTGGATTTTCAAACAAACCCAATAATAAAAGATGAATATTGAGACATTGGCTAGAGGAAACAAAGGAAAATTTAAGATGAAACTATAGGGGAGTGCATTTCAAAGTGACTACAAAAAATGTCTTTACACAACAATTGTGGGAGTATGAAACAAACTGACTAAGCATGTGAACATTGACACCCTGGCTTCTTTCAAGAAATGGCTTAGGTTCTTGGATCAATGGGATCAAACCAAATGAAATAGAACCTTTAGTTTGTAACTGTTCTTATGCTCTTACCTGCATACACCCATTTGATTTGACAGAATGTTGTCATTAGGATTTGAAACTTGTGTTTAACTTCATTATGTACTGTACTATAATCCAATTTAGAACATTTTTTGACTGCTTCATCACTGTATAAAAATTGTATAGGTGAGTTATTGATTAAAAAGGATGGCACGGTGGTACAGTAGTTAGCATTGCTGCCTCACTGCACTGGAGCCCTGGGTTCAGTTCTGGACATGGGGTGCTATCTGCATGGAGTTTGTATTGTCTCCCCGAGTTCATGTGGGTTTCCTCTGATTGCTGTGGTTTCCTCCCACATTCCAAAGACATACTGGTAGTTTAGTTGGCTTCTGGGAAAAATGGCTCATGTGTGAGTGTGTACAATATTGGATAAAGCGGTTAGAAAATGGATAGGTGGATGTACAATAAACCAATGTAAAAATATTTTTGTTGACTGGCAAAGTTAATGAAGCACAGGATAATAACTAAAGACTAGTATATACAGTAGGTGAATGGTTTTAAGCACATTTCATTGTGGGAAAATGAAGGTTACTGTACCTGTGCTATATGAATAACAAACGGACACTGTGAGATATTACTATTTTTATACAATTAAAATGCTGATACATTTTTAAATTTACATTACATAAGTTTTTTTGAAATTTACAGCATAAGAGAAAATCTAAACCACGGTACATTTTAGTAGATATATTGGCATTTCTCAAACAGGCGTGCAGATGATGCCCAAGTGCAGCTCGTTTCACACTTGACATTTTCACAACCCCATGTCTCCGCCCAAATGCAGTTCCTACCGCATTCGTTTTATGCTCGGATTTTGAAAAAGACAAAAACAAAACTAAGACGTTTCACATTTCAGCGTACAATAAGTCTGGGCAATATTTTTTTTACGTCAAGAATTCGGCGTCTAGTGGCATGTTTGCTTGGTTACATCTCTACCCCTTTTTGTTTACTAATTTATATCACCCATGGTTGTTGTAGTCTAGGTCTCAAGTTCTCCGGAGCAGTTCAGAAGCCAGATCCGTCACGAATACTACATTTCCCAGACGTCTTTTCCGTCATATTGTACGCAATGAGGCTGTCAGATGCACTATTTATCACCTGGCTCCAGAAAGATGCTGAGGCAGAAAGGCGCAGCTAGAGCGCTCGCCTGTATCATCGTTTTTTATCTGCGTTTGCTTTAAGGGCTGTTATAAAAAAAAAATAGACAGCATTCGTGAAGCCGAGATGAGAATAGCATAGAAGTACTGTTTATGTCTGCGTACCAACCGATTTTTGATTTATTACTTCTTCTGCGGAATTACCATCACTGTGACACTCGTTTGGCGTAAAAGGGATACAGCGCAAGTGGTTTGAGATTAGTACTATTCGAAAATCATCATGAGTACCGGTGAGTAGCATTTTCCTTTCCTCTCCCGGTGTGGTTCTCAATTGCAATTGCCTTCTAAAATTATCCTTAATAACAGTAATAATGATGGTAATACGCACTCACTACGTCATAAGATATAATAGTAAAAATAGCTATTGAACAGATTTCAAAACTTAAACAGTCTGTCATTCATTTATTTAGGATTTTGCATGAACTTTCCAGATTGCACTAACTAGCTTCAATAACCTGTTCGTGCGTATTGTTACATGTGATATTTTGTTACGTAATGCGTTTTATGACTGAGCAAAATGAAAAGGGAGCGAGCCAGCATATTAACGTTTGTTTGTCATCACATGTTGCAGTGCAGGCTCAGTTTCTTTTCAGGAGGGACGTGGTCAGTGGTTTTCCTAAAAAGAAAACTACAGCCATCTCGGGTAAAATATAGCTAAATAATATTTATAAAATAATTTCATTACTTCGGCTAACATATAAGTAGTTCCTGGCCGCATACAACCCGTAAATGAATAAAGAGAAAGCTTTAATTTTGCATGGGTTTGGTGTTTTCATGAATTTTAGCGAGGATTATCCGACTTTGTAAAATATTGCTAAAGCTTTCGGACCTAGACATACTTATTACCTGATTATTTATTGAAAAGGTGGCAGAAATTAATAAATTGCATAGAATTTATTCGATCCGCGTTAATCACATACAGCAGTAGTGGAAACATTTGATGTGCGCTTTGAAATAGTCCTGTTATTGACGGTGACAGGAAATGGAAAATCATCTTGAGAGGAATATGACAATGCAACACATTCTGTATTTGGTTAAATGTTGTGTATATACTGTATCTTCGAAAACACGGAAAACAAAGTTTTATAAAAGTATGACAGTAGCCGTACAGTGTGTATGGTAGGTACTGACAAAGACACCCCTAAGGTATGTTCAAATTGTGTCAAATTCATCAGCTAAACGCTGATATGACTCAGCCTATTATAGCCTGTTTGCAAGATGCGCAGAGCAACCTCAGCAGTAATTTATGGAACCACAGTGTAGAATTTGCACCAGACTGTAACCTGTTGCATCTGGATTCCATATGCTGAGGTCATTTTGATGAGTTATTAGCTAAAAGGGTTTTTACTATGTGTTGTATTTGTCCTGTAGCCCACAAACACTCAAGTATCCTTTAGGCCAAAAACTGTATTAAATGAAATAATTAAAATAGGTCGCAAAACTGGACAAATAAACTAGGCAATATAAAGATATTTGAATGGGAACCTACTACAACGAAGAAACAACCAAAAAACAAAAATGGAAAAACGTTTTTTTATGTTTTATTTTTCCCAGCCTAACAATCATTCTGTAAGAATTTTTAAAATAGTCATCTTTATAAGGCAGTCTGTCACTTAGTTAAAACCAGTTATTGTGTTTGATGAGTCACTGTACTTCATTTGAAACTTTGGATCGTGGCATTGAGTGTCATTGTCATTACATTGTTGTGAGGTTTTGAGGGCACAGAAATTATGGATTTTTGTTTACTGTCTAAAAATATAGTTGTAATCCATGAGATCTTTTTCTCCTTCAAAATAGACTCAAGTAAACTTGCCTGCCCTTTTAGAAACTCTAAAATCCTGGCTATACAATTGGATACTGTAGATTGAGGGAGTATCATAGCATATTGTGTTAGTTTATCTGATTGGCTGGACGGTCATCTTTTTTAACTTGGTTGTGTACTGTATGTTTACTGCAAGTGAGATGCTGTTTTGGGGATCATTATTTTTGGGAGATACTACTGTGTAGCAAGCCTATGGGAAATTTGTTACTGTGCTTACATACAGTATTAGGTCATTTTAAATTGTAAAAACAAATCTTAATCTCTGATTTTACAGTATATTTGTGAAGATTAAGGCTATTTTGTAACAGCCATATCCCAGGTATGAGGATTATCCAGACTGCTGGATTACGTCTTTTCATTGCTTGATTTGAATATTACCTGTGAGAGAGTTAATACAACATACTGTAAACACACTACTGTTACAGAAGTAATAAGGATGTAAACTTGTATCAAGCTGTATTTACTGTATTTACAGGGTTTATTCATTTAAAGACTGTACTATAAATGTTCAAGAACAAGAATCTGTCTTTAAGGAAAGAAGAAGTCATCTCTACAGCACTCAAAATGAAGTCTCCCTAGTGACTAGTCATATTTGTGGTAGTAGGCATAGCAGTTAAACAGTGCTGTGTGTGTTCACAATAAAAATGGCAGCCATAATTTTTTTTGTAAATGTGTATTTAGTTTCTCTAACAGTTAAAATAGAATAGAGATAATTACATTTTTTTTTAGATTCCAAGGCCTCTTCAGAATTTGAAGGTTCCTTTGTGTATAACAATGTTTTTATGAATGTTTTATACTCAATGCAAAACTTGCAGTTCCATAATACTGGTTTTCTTTGCTCACAGAATATTAGCCAATAATCTTTGGTGTTGCTGCTGCTTGATTTGGACTGATCTTCTTGTTGGATCCTTGTTTTATGTTCCAGTTCATCTGCTGTGTAAGGGCTTTCAAGTAATCTCTTGTTACATCTGTCCCACCCATTTTGCTAAGGGTAAACACAATGCAGTGTGTCTCAGTTGAAAGTTTCACACGTTTTCTCAAGTCTCACCCAGTTGTGTCTTGGGGTTTATTAGTTCATCTAAATACATTGAAAACATGACAGCTTGTGTGGAAATCTGGCAGGATTGTGCACACCAGGCCTTAAGGACTCGATCCAAAGAATGTTTTCCTTTTCGAGTGTTTATATTTCATTCTTTTGAATTTATGTGTCAAATGAGTGAGACGTATTCTAATTCAGATGGAGGAACGTGTCATTGTCAGGTTTGCACTTACGTATCTGTTAATACATATTATTAACTTCAAATGCTTACTTTTTATTCTTTTCTTGGAGCTTTTTGAGATTTCTTTTCCAGTTGGTTCTTTAGATTGAGAGACAAGGGTGTCTGCTTTATTGAAAAAAAGGTATCAAGAGCTTACAAACCACCTGACATTTAAATACATATTCCTGACTACATTTTTAAATCGTTTGACTTAAAATAATGACTAGATCTACTTATTCTGCCATTTATTCTGCTGGATATGGTATTGTGACATTGTGAATGAAATGTATATCTGATTTTGTTGGTTATAACAATATTTAAGTTGAATAAAATGTCAAAAGGAAGCTTACATAATGATTAAAACACTTTTGATGCTGCAGTATCTACAGTATTTTGTTTTAAAACATTATTAAGAGGATACAAGCATCATGTTTTTGCATTTGCAAGTAAGCAATGAACTACAGACTGGTGCTGTAGGCTTTTATTTTATTTATTTCTTGCTACTTTCTACATTTTGATGGTGACTTAACTAAATACCAAATGTAACAATTCAATTACACTGGTTAGAAATTAAGGTTAACATTAATCTATTTGTATGTTCTTGTATAGTAGTTTATGGAATGAAGGATGTGTTAGATACACAGACAAGCATACAGTATCTTATCAGGAGATTCTACAGCTGTCAGAGTCATCACTGATAAATAACATCACTGATCTCATACTTGCAAATTAACAGCACTGTGTATATATACAGTACAATGTTAATTACCTCTGAGAAGTTTGGTTTACTTGTGACATTTGTGACTTCAATGTTTGTGTGTCTCTTTGACCAGAAGCAGCAGTCAGATGAAATGTAATGCCTATTAGTCTCACTAATAGGATATGAATAGCCTGATATCTTTTTTTTCTTTGTTCGATATGCTGAATAGTAAAAATCTGTTTTAATTACATCTTATCTCATCAACCATTTATGTTTTTACCAATTGATGAATCATGAATACAGAGTTTATTAATTTCCCTGAGAAATTAAAGGGCATAATTTGTAAAAGAAAAATTTCAGAAGGTTTTGTGCTGTTACCTACTGTATCAGTACCTTTAAGGACATTATTGTGAGCTGAGTAGGCAGTTACCTCCTACACCAATGCAGTGTTGTGTTCCATGCTTTTATTCTGTTTTATTCAGTACAATACTGTAGATCTTCATGTTTGTGAGATGTTTTATAGTCATTTTTATTGCATGTTGGTGTGGGTTCCTAGCACTGTTGCTTGGGCCAGGACAATCCATTCTAATCTAGAACTGAGCAACAGAGCTTTACTGCAGTGGGAGGATACTGTCAAGAGACATATTAAATACTGTGATGGTCCCTGCAGAAGCAGAGAAGTGCATTAGTAAATTGAAATATTGCTAGAGTAGTATTTTTTAAGTTAATGATGCTCATAGACATGCAAAGCAATTCATCTAAACCCTAGGAATGAATACATTACATATGCAGAGAGAAACAGTATTAGATTTGCTTAATAAAGCAAAATCTTCATATATAATTGATTTTATCATTAAAAATGCAAGGGAAGTACTGCAAAATAAAATGATTGCAGCACAAGGATATTTTTGAGTCAATATTAATTTGAAAACTGTTTCAGCATAATCCCCTTATACAGTACACTTTACACTTTAAAAGCTGTTGTAATAAAATTACAGTAAGTCAGTGTTACACCACCACTTAAACCTTGCTTTTATTCAAATTTAATTTTTGTGAAGGTTCAAATGTATTTTTTTTTTAAATTATTGGACTAAACATGAAAATCGGTCAGTCCAAGAACTGTACTGTAAGGTGGAGTAACAGTTCAAAACCAAGCTTTACAATCCACTCAGTCACTCCGGGTTTATGTTGTTATATTGCAGAATAAAGGGGGTAGGTGACCAATTGTCAGGAGAGTAGTAGTGGCAGTATTCTGGGGCCAGAATAATATTTCTCGTCCACTTCAGTGGAAAACACAGCTTTGCGAGCTGTCTTGTAGCCTACTGGTCTAGGTGCGTGACTACCAACTGGCAGGTTGTGTGTTCAAATCCAGCTGGTGCTGGTAAAAATAATGTTAGAGGCACATACAAAACATTGTAGGGCACTTAGCCCTAGTGCCACATTGTGGTA